CCCCCCACCAGCGCATGAAAAACGAGGGGCAAAGGCGAAATACAAACCGTACCTAGACTCGAAAACTTACCACCATCATTTGAGATTGCGTCGCTGTCGCAGCTTGATTCGCCACCGCCCGCCCCCCAATCGTCGTCGCCGACCTCATCATCCTGGTCGGGCATCTCCTCGTCACTGCTCGTGCCCCCGTCCATGAAGTTGTACGCCCCAACTACACCCTCCGGAGTGATGCGGTCGTCCAACGACCCGTCTGCCGTCATCGCCAGTCCGGCCTTCTCGAACAGGCGATGGCGGTACCCAGGCCGAGCGTCCATTCGCGCGACCTCCCTTGCAATGAATCGCGTGAAAAGGATTCGCCTTGCACCAGCTGAAAGCTGTTGGTCTCCCACAGGCAAGGGTTTTCCTCGTGCCCAAGAAATTCATTCAGCTCGTTACCGACTTCGACTGTGAGGAGGCGTCCATAACCGGTATCGACCGGTTGGAGTTCGTCGGTCAACTTGGGGTGAAGTAGCCGTAGCAGCGTGTTGCACTCGCCGTGAAGGGATTTGTTGAACTCGTCCGTTGTCTGCGCGTGCAGGTTGTCCGCGAAAAGGATGGGCTGCTCCTCTGGAACGACACCTTCCTCCCCCGTGATGCTGCGTAGGAAGCTGTTTTTTGCCCACGCCATGCACGTTGGGCCGTCCATCCACGCGTTCTCCTGGAAGAGCACGTCCACGCCGGGATCGTACGCCGCCTTCTCCACCGCCAAGACTTTGCCTTCGCCGCGGAAAATGACCGCGGTCCGCATCAACTTGTCGCCAGCTCCGATGCAACAGTTGACGGTGCACTGTCACTTCTCAAGACCAGGGAACGGCTGCCCAACTTGCACTCGCAAAGCTCCCGTCTCGTCCCATGTCGAGTCGAGGCCGTTGACGAATGCGAGCCCAACCTGGTCGACGGTGAAACGCGCATCCAGGCTGAAGCGCCCGTAGAGGGGCGATTTCACAGGAACGATCGCTGCGCCGTTGTTCTCGGCCTCGCCCCCAGCAGCGGCCCGGCGAACGGGTGGTTCCTGCAGCAGCTGGCGCAGCCTCCTGTGGAAGCTCTTCATCTGCGGAAGACGGTCCTCCACCGACTTGTTCTTCATGTTTGTGCGTCTTCGTTTCGAGGGATGGTGGCGCTTCGCGAACTTCCTGCACCACCGGTCCGACGCTGAGAAGCTCTTTGCACGCGGGTCGTCCGGATACATTTCCATCACGAGCTTTCTCGCGTTGACTCGAATCCAGGCTGTCGACACTCCGAGCTTCCTCTTGCGCGGTTGCAGCAGCAGCGAGTCGAGTGCAGCTTTCTCTGCGTCTCCGAACCACCTCCTCTCGATGCCAGTCTTGAAAAGGTCATTCTTCAAGTCATTGGCCGCGGCTGCGATCAGCTTCTCCGCGTCACCGTTCCACTTGCAGATGTTTGGTTGGGGAATGCCGGTCTTCCTTGCCAGGAACTGCTGACACGACACGCCGTGAACATGCCAGATCTTGTCGGCGTGATCGGCCTCCAGCTCTCGCAGCTCCGCGACCACCGCAGCCTCCTTCCTGTTGCTGTACTGCGTCCTCTTCTCAGTCCCTCGTGTTTTCTTCCGCTTGGTGTTCTTCGTCCGACAAAAGGCTGCCATCTGGCAAGTCTGATGTACCATCGCCTTGGGTCCTTGGCTGCAGCTCAAACGAACAGCTCCCTCGCACGTGGTACATTTTCTGGCCCGCCGCAGTGGTGTGCCCGCCTCCCTCTGGGTGGTGAAATACGACATTAAAACACCTGCCCGAATACCCGTGCCAAGGTGGAGTCGTCATGGTCCCACCCGTCGCGAGGGCGCGCCTGAGCCCTCGTCGAAGATGCCGAGGAGGAGCTGGGTGCACGGCACTCCAGTGTAGCGATCGACCTTGTTCGGAGGCAAAGGTCTTCGGGCAGTACAGACAGGCACTTCAACTTGGAAGGAGGTGGTGCGATGGGATATTGGACGCGGGTGACTTCCTCCACGACGCCATTGCGGGTACACTTGATCTGCGAGAAAATAGCAGCAAAGCGAGGCTACGGGGATTTTAGAGTGCAGCAAAAATGTTTGTCAACGGTCCCTCCAAGTAAATTACAACAGACTTTTTCAACGGCAGCGGCACGTGATTGGCACGCTTCGACAACAGCAGCAAGTGTCGCTGAAAAGAAAAGTTGAAGAAAAACACGAGAGCAAAACAACGGGCAGTGCCAGGATTCACAACCGCGTCCTCGAACTCGACGGTGAACTAAAAGAATCCCCTTTCAAAACATTTCGTGTTTTGGTTTCTCTGCCGGCCAGATTGGCACACTTGGACACCAGCTGCAAGTGTTGCAGAAAAAAAAGTTGACAAAAAACACGAGGAAAAAACAAAAGGGCACTGCCAGGATTCGATACAGCGTCCGCAAACTCGGTGGTGGACCGAAAGAATCCTCCGCAGAATACTTTCGTGCTTTATTTCTCTGCCGGCGAACAATGCGGGCGAGGGAGACGAAACAGGTGATGCACCGGACAAACACTTGTCATTCACGAACATGGCCAAAGGATGCAAGCGGAATCTCCAACCAACTCACCGGCTTGTTTGTTGCTGCCGACCAGCAGTTGACGATGTTCCCGTGCATCGTGTTCGCCGCCGCCCTCGCTTCCTTGGCCGTGCGCTTGCCCTTTTTCTGTGCGGAGCTAGGAGTCTCCATCACCTGCGACCCACCAATCCCTGCTTCTCCGCCCGCCGCTGCCGACCGTGGTGCTCCGTCTCGCAAAGGTCTGCAACTTTTGCATCTAGCTGCTCTCGGTGGTCTTCCGCCGTAAACATGCCGCTGGACAGCAAGTTGGCCATGCGCTCCACATGCGACCCGAACTTGTCATCGATCGGCTTGTTGGCCATCACGTACTTCTTGATGGAATCTTTGTGGCTGCTCTCCTTGATGTAGCCGGCATCAGCAAACTTCGACAACCTCTCGAGGTTGCCGATGGAGGCGTCTGAAAGCGGCATTGCCTTCCTCGTGCATGAAGAACACGAGTTTTTTTGTGAGCGGTGGCGGCGCTTCTGGGGGGTCCGCCGACGCGTCTCAAGGAGATCATACCCTTCTGCGGCGGAAGAAGGCCCACGCCCATTGTATGTGCGTGGATGCCGTTTCTTACTTCCTGCGGCCAACCTTGGATCATCTGTTTCTCATGTCTAGGAAGTCAAAATTGTGCTATTTCTCATCAGTCCGTTTCTTGTCACTCTCCGTCAAAGTAGCTCAATTTCTCAGGCCTTTTTCTTAAGCAACCCAAAAATCTGAGCCTCGGTTTCTTACGATGGTGTTTAGTTTGGGGTACTCGGCAAGTATACTGTCTACGGGGCCTCCGGGGGGTACGCGGATGGAATGTATTGACGGACATGCTGCATGGCGATGGTGTGGCCTACCGCATGTCTCTACTCTCTAAGCAACAAGGTCTTGAGTCCACCTTCTTTCTCTTTCGGCCTCCGACGAGCTACCGCACCCAAACACAATATATTGTAAGGCCTGGTGTTGGTAGTGGGTATTGGCGTCTGAGCGGTGGGAGCTGGGCCATCGGGGCAGCGGAAATATTTTCATAGCTGGGATCGCGGCCAAAGGTGGCGAGGATAGCAGTGCATAGCTGGTGCGGTGGCCATTGCGGGGACCGGGACAGCAGGGTTTATAGTTGGGACAGCACTTCGAGGCTGGGACAGCAGAGAGGGTTTAGAGTTTTAGTTTGATATGTCTGGAACGGAGGAGGACGCAACTCTGAGCGCGAGGTTGGATGAGGCGCTACGAGCTATAGAGGAGGCCAAGGCTGAGACGAAGGAGTCCAAAGCTGAGACGGAGGAGCTTAGAGCAGCAAAGCGGCGGTCTGCGGGTGCACCTGCCGGCAGCAGCTCAGGAGGCGACGGTCTAGTTGCTCCTGGAGGGGCTTCATCTGCACCGGTGAGGCCAATGTGGCCAGGCGGGGTGAGTCATGATGGCGGTACTGGGGTGCCGGGTTTGCCTCTGGGAGGTACAATTGTCAGAACTCCTGTGCCCAGAATCCCGCCTAACTGCACCGCCGACACCTTTCTCAGTTGGCGGAGACGCTTTCTGGCCTACGTGGACAACCACAATCTCCAGCACACAATCTTCGGCAGTGCTGAGGTTCCCGTTGTCAGTTGTCAGG